TTGTATTTCTTATTGTGTATAGAATTAATAAAAAATAAATAAAATAGAATGGTTGACAAAAGCGGCATGCACTGACAGGTGTTCCTTAGAATTTACTGTTCAACTTCACATCAAGCAATATTAAACATAAAACATGTTACGGTGAAAAAATGAGAAAAGCCAGATCCAGTTGGGGCTTTTTACAATGTTTGACAGGTTTTTAAATTAGGCTTTTCTACATTGAATTATGATTTATTATGTCATATATAGATATTTCTCATGATCTCTTGATGTAGCAACCCCTGGTTGTGCAGTAGTCTTAATTTTGGCCCTCATACCAAATCATGCACTTGGTGTTTTATGCGTGTTTGAAAAGGTGATATACACATAAATAAAGTTGAGTTGTCCACTCTACAGAAGTTATGTCTCTGGTTGTTTTTGTACCTTAGAGAGGTTGAGGAGGACCTGGATGGAGAGGGTGATGACCTCCATGCAGGGGACGCTCCTGTTGCAGCAGCGGATCAGTGTGAAGATGACCTTTGTGGCCCCGCTCTCCACCAGCCGCTCACAGCACGCTGGTGAAAGTCTGGTGGTGGTTTCTGTGCACACAGCAAAAAAAGACACACACAACTACTAAATACAGTWTATATAATCCTAAACACAACACTTTTTCTTTTTCTAAGCAAAACCACGAAAAGAAAAAGAGGAACTTGTTCCCACATAGTTCTCTCAAAGTCTGGAGTTCTTCGATTTCAACATATCAGCARGAGCAGGAAGGTCAACATGAGCTGCCTGAGCCCTCTAAGGGTAACTACAGAAAACTGCATCTACTTGTATACCAGGGCTATTCAACTGCCGGCCCATGGGCCAAATCCGACCTGCGAATGACCAAAGTTTGGCCCGCCATTTGGTTTATTCATCTCTTCAGGCCAAAGCCCCAGTTTTCTACTTTAATTACTATAAGTTCTTTTAGTTAGACATAGACATGTGTGGTATCTACAGAAAGTCAGAATCTTGGCTAGAAGCTGGTAAAAAATAAATAAAATGAAAACATTTCTACACACCCGAGACAGTTAAAACTACAAGCGGTTGAAAATAAAATTGGTTTAAAAACTTTGAAGTCAGAGATGTCAAAATAATGTTTGTGTTAAACAGGAGGCATAATGTGTTCGCTTTGGTTTTGATATGGTTTTAATTAGGGCTGGGCCATATCATTCATGATAATACCAGTAAAAAAAAACTTGCCCAAGAAAATGAATTATATCATGATGTCCTGATGCATCTCAGTAATCCAGGTAAAAAAATCAAAAAGAAAAAAAATTGTATAGGTCTTCTGGACGGGTT